GGGTTTCCATGTTTCAATGTTTGACCACAACCTTGTTCGCTTCCTGTAATTCATTCCATATTTACAATAATCCACATCATAGTATTTCAGCCCACTCATGAATGGTTGTTCCTTCAAAAGTCCAGTTTGAGGATTTTCCACAACCCACCATGTAGGTTTGAAGTAGTCAATGATTTCAATGGTTTTCAAAACAATGCTATTAGCGAACTCAATCTTTCGGACGCCCGTCGTCTTCGCTCGACTGTATTCGGTGCATGGAGGGGATGCCCAAATCACATCAAACTCACCCACATCAAACTGTTTATAATCCCAACTCAAAATGTCAGTGTTGATATTTGCATTTTTCAAATCAAGGGAAATAAAAACTTGCTGAAGCTGTTGATGCTTGAAGTTTTCACTGAAGCATGGTCTCTGACCATCTCCTGGGACAAGACCTGGATGTGGGGTACTAATAAGGCCATATCTGACTTTTGGAAAGCTCTTCCAGCGTTGCAGGACCACTATCCGGACGGGGTCCCAGTGACTCAGTCGGCAGTTGAACTTGGTGTTGTCCGCCTCTATAGTAAACGTCCCTCACCAGGAGCTCTTCATGCTCAGGTTCAAAAAGGCATCAACCTTTGCCGGAAAGTGCAACGCCAGCATTTCACCTTGCGCGACTCAGCCAGTGTTGTCCAAAGGGGGGTCTTCCCTCTTGCCCTGTATGGGGCTGACACGCAGCATTTGAGTGCCAGGGAACTGCAACGACATCGGTCGGCCATCAAATCGGTCATCATTGGACCATGGCGTAACGCCTCGGGTCTTTTGACATGTCATGTCCTTACGAAGCAGGTTTTTGATCCGCTTGTTTTCATTCTTTTGAATATCTTCTCCCTGGTGAGGAGTGCTGTTGACGTTGATGCATCCATTGCAAGTCAGTTCATTCGTATTGTGTGTGAAACTGATAAAGATTGCAGCCGCTGCTATGGGCCTGCCTCAGCTTGTGCGATGTATCTGCAGAAGGTAGGATGGCGCCTTGATGATGAAGGTAACTTGCATGGCCCACCAGGTACCACTGCTATCCACACTTTCACAACCTCTCGTCGTGAACTGCCTTCCTTCAATGGTGGGATACATACGTGTGGCAGCATCAGCAGCATCGCAGAGGAGTTGGGCGAACCCGTACTCAAAAAAAACCGACACTTATTCTCCAAACCCGTTGGGTGAACCAGTACCAAGCCAACACCCCCAGACCCGTTGGGCTCTCTCTCTCTCTCTCTCTCTCTCTCTCTCTCTCTCTCTCTCTCTCTCTCTCTCTCTCTCTCTCTCTCTCCCAGTTTGCGGACAGTCAATGATCCGCTACCCAGCCACCCTCGGTCGTTGCCAGGCGTGGGGGCGCACACACAAAAAATGGAGGGGCTGTACAAAGCACACTAACTGCGGAAGAAAGCCAAGATGGACTATCGCCGAGCCATCTTCCTGTGTTTCACGAGTTGCCATTTCCTTTGAGGAGTTGGCAAATCATCCATCTCAGACGCAAGGCTAGCCGGGAGCTCAATCGGACCAGCGGCCGTATCAGAAGTACAAGTGCAGTTGTATGTGACCAACAACTTCAGAGTTTCCTCAAGGAAAGGGATCTGTGGGCGAACCGCAGCAACCACGGATTTACGGATGGGATAGTGCAACGGACTTGTGTGAAGACTTCGTTGCTGAAAGCTAGGCAAAGAACAAACACGAGTCATGGCGACAAGCTGCTGCATGATTGTGAGCAGAGTCTCGGCGATAACCCACTCCACGAGCATTTGGGGGGAGCATACCCGCGGAAACTGGTGAGAGTCTTGATACGGTCTCGGTAGAACACAACGGGCAATCGGGTCCCAGTACACACAAGAAAATTACAAAGAAGCTCAATTACGGTGATGCCAGGGTCACCTTGTTGCGGTTCTAAGTTTGATGGCCACTGGATCATATGCATCCAAAACCACACAGCATGCGCTGCGGCCTGGCCTGCTGGCACAGCACGGGCAATGGAGGTGGCAGGCGATTGAAATTCAAGGTGTACTGGATCAAGCACAGTCCAGTTGCGAACAAGAAGGATGGCAGCCCCTGCAGTAGATGCACTAGAGTCAGTTGGATCATTGGCTTCGTGAAACAGGGTCTGGGCAAGTTGCTCACGCTCATCGGTTGCTCTACGTGGGGCTTGCGCTCGCCTCACTTCTGGCAGGGTGATTCTATGCTGGTCAAGCTGCACTGATAGTCTGTACACAAAGCAGAGCATTCCTTAAGGATACTATTGGACACATCGCGTGTCAAGGCTGAGTCAAACACCAGAGAGGAAGCAGCAAGTTGATCTGCCATGTCATTACCAATGATCAACCAAAGATCACGGGCACACTTAGCATCATTCACATGCTGATGAGATTTAACTTTCTCCCAAGTGATATACCCAGGGCGCCAGTGGCGTAGTAGGATCCACAATAGATCCTGATTCTGCATCTTTCGCAATGGGCCAGTACCATTTTCAAACCGCTCAGAGACAAGACTAAGTGCATGCAGAGCGTATTTGGAATCCGATACCACATGCACCGGCAAGGCAACAGCGGATATTGCAACACTGAGGACAATCGAGCAAATTGCTGCAAGCTCACTACGGTCAATCGTCTGGCGGCCTGGCGTCAATCCACAAGCCGCACACACAAAATTGTCATTTGTACTAGTGCCCTGAGATCCAAGCACTGCACCTGCAATGGCCTGGTTATCCGACAACTTGGGCTCGCGAGGTCGTGGGTTTCCTCGATCTAGGGCTTGGGATGCCCTGCAACGCAAAGGGCGATGGGCAAGCTCAAGCTCCTCCCCACACGCGCACGCAGAATGAGTTTGGTAGTCCTCGTGCTAGATGTGCCAGCTGTTGCGAACACACCTGACACCATGAACGCGTGAAACGTATGTACCGGGGCCAAACCCCAAAATTTGCAAAATGAAATTCGGGCAAGGAGCAGGAGGCTCAACTGAGAGTGAAACGGAATCTTAGGTCAAGGAAAGTCAGGCCTCGCTCGGACATGGCCATTCTTCTTGCATTCAGCGACCTATTTGAGTGTTGCAGCTTTGAAGTCATAGTCCCGAGTCCCGATCGGCCGGGTCGATGGCAAGGGCAACACTTCTGTCCGAAGGGATGTCCTTGGTCAAGGGGAAGCTACGCCCCTGAATTTGGGCATCCGTGTGGTATGCGCATCATTTCTTTCTTGAGCGTTGCAACTCATGTCATGCCACCTTTCGTTGGATTGGAGAATGTTTGTGGGCTCCTGAATCTGCAGGGACAGGTCTGTGGTGATTTTTCGGAGGATTGATTGTGGCCTTTCAAACATCGTGAAGGAGACAATTCCGCGGACGAGGCTCACTTGCGACCGTGAGAGGACTTTACAGGCATGGACCAATATCATGGGTGCATGCGTTCATTTCCAGCAGTGCAATTTGGTCCTGCGTGCAACACATGGATATTTTGCTGGATCCGATGTTGCTCCCTTGTTGGATGAGGCTGCCGAATCTTACCCGGAAAGAAGTTCTATGACAGATCTGCAATCAGCAGATATTTTCACTAGAGCACTTACTCCCAACAAATGGGACCACGCCATTAGGTTGATCGGCGCTCGTGTTGATCTCCCTGAGAAGCTTGAAGATGTGCGTGAAAAGATATCCAGCGTGATGCGCAGCGTCAAGTCCAAGAGTTAATGCAAGATGTGCAAATGCCCAGTTGTTGCTTGAAATTACTTGCAGCAGTTCTCGTGGTGTAAACCTGACTACAAGTCGGCGTGGTAATGCGCCCAAGCAACTTCCGCAGTGCCAACGATGAGTCATGCCAGAGGACAAAATCCAGACCCAACCTAACATGGAGGCAGATAGCAAGTCAAGAGCTGTCCCTCTTGGGAAAACTAATCGCAGATCAGGTATCACGGTTTTAGTGAGCGCGCTTTGGGTTTGTTAATTCCCCTGCAGGCCAGCGGCCTGTGCAGTGCCACCTCAGCGTTTGCACTCACTTGTGCCACTGCCTGGCTCCTCCGTTAGCGCCCTAGTTATCCCTGTGGTCTCACACCCCGGCAAATAACAGACCCGGGGCCGGTCGAGCACGCTTTGTTGACCGGAGAGGGTGCAGAGCGGGAGTTGGACACGCGTTGACGACTCCTCTGCACCCCTGAGCCTGTACTTCTGGGCAACGCCTGACAAAAAGGGAGCGCGACCTTCGGCTTTGTCCGCTTTCCCTTGTTGGGCTTAACAGTTCCTCCATTTGGCAGTGAAGTGGATTCTAACGCTTTGGACTGATAGAAACTGAGGCTACATACTTGAAGAGAACGCAGTCACCAAGTCGTTGCGTCGAAGGCCATTCAGCAAACACCATGGCTTCGGCCACTATGCCCAAACTAAGTTGCCGTGCAACTTGTTGGACTGAATTTCTTTTGCCATTTACGATTGTAAACAATTGGGAGATGACAGTGATTGTATCGAGTGTTGAACCATTTCCTTTAAATGTTTTCGTAGGCTGGAACTTGGAATGCTTGCGAGGCAAACATGGAAAATACAAATGTATCTTCCGGTCTTTCACTGCATTTGTGCTGTTTGTAACTACGGAAACACGATTTGACAAAACCAAATTCACGCTCATGCTTGCAATTGCAATCATCGCTGCGTGATATAAGAATACCATGAGGATGCAATGGGAACCTTCTTTTTTAATGTTAACCTTTGGTCAAACTCTACAATTCAAACGGCATACTCGAAAGCACGCCGGTTTTGTCAGATCATCTGCATGCCAGGGGACATGGTTTTTCACAACCAATTGTGATGTTTTTGCTACACACGCGCAGACACACACACAACGTGAGACTTGTTGAATCTTGGGCAAGTATCATGCATTGTAGTTTCGCCGAACACACTGACACACAAAGACTCGTAGAGACACACGCACATACAAACTAATGTTCCTGCAAACAAATGTCCGTGCAGGAGACATTTAATCAATGATTGTTTTGAAGCCATTTGGCTTTCAACGTGACTCTTAGCCTGCTTTCACAACAACAGGAATGGTGCTATGGCCTTGATATTGGCCAGCATTGCTCTTGTTGTTGCCACCATGATGGGAATGGTGGCTGCAGCAGTACTTGCGTATTGTTGCTGGAATGGCGCCCTGTGGATTTTTTCGCCGCACGACGAAGGATTTACAGTTGGGCATGTGCAGCGTGCATCCGACGGCTTCAACGTGCAGGAAGCGAAAACCCCAAGATTTCCTCAGCAATATGCCGCCGGTTCCGAGCGTATGGCACAAAATCAGCAGCTGATGTGGGATCCCAATGCATGCTTCGCCAACTATGGAGCGTCGATCCGCCGTGAGCAACGTGGCGCTGGCATGGGAATTGATGCTTTTCGCCAATCAGTTGACATGGCACAAACTCTGCCGTCTCCGGCCTTGAGCATTGCCGAAGCAGCAAGCCCTCAACCAAGGGCTCAAGCAAGGAAGATGCACCGGACCAGCAACTCTGTGTCGGTTGCTGAACAAGTGCAACGTGGTTACGCAGCGCAGCTCGCTATCAGGCGCGGTCAATCAGTTCCATGAGGCCATGAGATTGAGCCCGTGAATCGGCAATGTGTGTCGCTTGTGCATCTCGTTGATTATGTTGAGCCGGGCGGCAAAAAACACGAAAAGGGGCATACTGCATTTTGCTTGACATGCAGTACTCGCTCGCACCAGTTGCATGTCACATGGCTCCAGGTTCAGTGGCGATTTGGCCTACCACATGGGAAATGTCAGAGCCATCGCAGATGCGTGCCCAACTCTACTTGTCATTTGAGCAAGCGCGCAGCTTCTCCGAGCGGAATTGAGAGCTGGGCAGGTATGGATTGGACTCAGCGGATATGTGTTATTGCTGCTTCGCAGCAATGTGAGCTCTCTTGCGCTGAATCCTTGGCATCCTGGGCGCTAGGCTTTCTGTGCCTGGATGCTGCCAAAGGCTGTGGCCTAGCTTTAAAGAAGTGGGGCACAGGGACGCATCCTGGCTGCACTTTGCATGTTGCGGTTTTTGCAGGATTTTGCTTGAGACTGTCGCTTTTCCAGGTATGCAGCTCGCATATGGACAGTTTCCTTGGCTCGATTTGTCAAGACAGCCCAGCGAGTTCGCAGCGCAAAGGCGCCACAACTCATGCAATGCTTGTTTGTCCAAGAAGTGTCGTGAATGTTTACTTGAAATACCGTATTTTGGAAGGATGAGTCGAAGTTCGAGCTGCTTTGCGGTGAGTGGCGCTATAACCAGGCCATACATATTGTTGGGCATGTGGGGCTTGCATGCCATTTGCTACAGTCATTGAGAAGCTTGTGGAGGATCACTTCATTCGCGAAGTGCAAGCTTGTGAGATTCCTTTCCACCGGGAGTCTCCTGTCTTCAAAGTTGTTGCAACTCAGGCTGAGCAAGCAAGCCATTGCCACACCAAGGAATGGAAAGGCTCTTCTCAACGCTTTCCAAACAGAAGAGATCAGGCAGGGCATTTCTGCGTTGACAAGTGTTTGCTGCATGCCTAGTTCAAGTTCTTCAGCAGCCGGGTTCTGCGGTCGTTTCCGAAATGCCTTGTAGCCAAATCACCGCAAAACTGCAATGTGTGACCTGAAGCAGCAGTTCACCACCGCGCAAGAAATACAGCCAAGTTAGCTCACATGATGACAGTTGCAGGATGACACTACGCTACCAAGAAGCATAAGTTTGGAGCGTGCTTGCGTTCGGCTTGTTGCATCCTGGAGGCCAAACAAACAATGAAGAGGCACTTACTTTAGCTTTAGCACCACTTTTTCCAGTAAAGATGGGTCATGGGCAGCTTGATAAGAGACCAGGCAGCATCCCAACTTCACCTCTGATTTTGTATGAAAGTGCAGCAAAGCAATCAGGGCAAGGACAGTGAAGTGGACCCATGTTTCAAAGAAGCATGTTGCCGCTGGCAGAGTAGCAAACACAGTGAGGTGATCAATGATTTGTCTTGCACTACATTTTAATTGACCCAAGTTTGGTGGTGAGCTGCGATCCACATGGTGACGAATGGGCAGTCAAAGCTGCATGTGCTCGTGAGCCCTTTGTGCACGGCATTGCCGCTCGGGGGCTTTGGTTTCAGGAAAGTCGAAGTATCCCGCCTAGCGCTCGGAATGTTGAACGTTTATGCAGGTTTTATCCGCTTGTGTGTACATCTAAGAGCTTCGGGTTGGGCTGAGGTGCTCAGCAGATCCTCTTGCAACATGCAGATGCAGCTCCAAGTCGAGGCATTGATCTCGATTTGTAAGCCTTAGTATTTGGGAGTGGGTCAAAGTTTAACCACTAGGGGACCGCAGGTTTTGGTCCATGTTTCCATTTACCAGACCCACACCCATTTGGTTGTTACCACCACGCAGGCGCATTGGGCGAAGTCGGGAGAAGCATTGGTCATTGTGCAGGTCAGCACCAGCTGTCGTTGCCGGAAACAGATTGGCTGCGAGAGGACCGGACAGTGATTTGTCGGAACAAGCCGGCACAGAACTAGAACATGCGATGAGTTGGTGTTTGGTCCTGAACGTCTGGATGTACACAGAGAGACCCTGATAGGAACAACACAACGACCCTGGTGCCAATGTCTTCCGCTCGTAAAAGACTGACTGGTGGAACACACAGAGGAGGCAACCATGTAAAGTCAAATTTTCTTAGAAGTATTGACATGGGTGAAACTGAGGCAAGCTCACAGGTTCCAGTCCAAGATCACACCTAACATTTCTGGCACTGGAGCCTGAGCAATTCTATGTCAACCTCAGTCACACCCCAGCGTCGCTAGAGACCAAAGCTGGGGATCCTGAAGATGCCAGTCCCACGCCAAAACTACGCAAGACGCAAATGCGATGACCAAAATCCCACACTCCGCAGCCCAAAATAGCCCAAAGCCAAGATGAGCCAGGACTGTCAATTTTTTGCTAAAATTGCAAGCACTTAACAAAGTGTAGACATTTGGGGAACGGCCTCAATTGGTTTGTTGGGAGTGCAGGATGAGCTGTTCCCAGCTACTGATTCAATGTGTTATGGCAGTCACTGGGATAACAATGGTGCACTGCAGACTACTTTTGTAGCCCAGAATTTGTTGGGTCAGCGTGGGCTTTGCACTCGACTGTGGCGTCAACTGCACGCGTTCGATGCAATGTTTCCGGCAAGGAGGGGCAAGCTCATTGCAAGAGGGCTCTGAAAGATGAGATGGGCGCAGCAGCTTGCCTTGAGCTTGAAAACTCGGCTGCTCCTTTGTACAGCGTTCACATGCCACGCAAAATCATCGCTCATCCAAGGTGGCTTTGCCAAGAAAGCGGATGCGGCAGTCTGGTTGAGGTAGCCACCGTCTTTGCAGTCATGATGATGGTCTGAACATACCATATCATTTTTCAGCAGTTATTGGATGGTGAAGCTTTGCAACTTGCTTCCCGTCTTAGTAGATAGACGTGTGTTGGTTCCAGGATGCACAAAAGGGCACGACATGCGACATTGGCGGCAAATGACACGGCCACAAGACAATTATGTCAGAATGGGCAGGCAGAGTCTCACTGTGGGTGTGAAACCACATTATGCACGGAATTCGAGTGGCACGATTGTATCTTAGCATATGCACGCGTGCCTTCTACATTACAAGGTCAAGTTCTAGGCATTCCCATGGCCCAGGCTGTGTCTGGGCTGCAACTTTCAAGTTCAGCTTTCTTGATAGTTCAGCTCCACATCCCGCATTTTCAGGCCCCTGCTTTGGACTTGGCTGAGCTTGCAGCGGGAATGAGTTGGGAAGACGGCAAGACGCAAAACATGAGCGGCGCTGTGCTTTGCCTGGGTTGGCAACAACCAGTCCATCCATGGTGTGTGTTCAAGCTCGGATGAGATGTCCTTGTGTGCACTGGCAAAACTGTCGATGCAGTTATTTCAGTATCATTATTGTGGTAGCGCGCAGTGATTCTGATTGACTGCACATTTATCCAACGAAGCGAATGCATAGGCCACACCAACTGTGGCTGCCTCACCATTGTCACTATGTATTCTGATTTTCCCCATGACAACACCGGCAGAGAGATATTGCAAGCCCATTGCAAACTCGGTACGATACCTTGCAAGGCATATTATTCAGAGGCTTCGGCATCTCCAGAGGTGTCTTATGTTTAGGAGCCATGCAGAGCCAGGCTTCGCTTTTTTGGCTTTTGGTGGCCGCGCTGGCGGTCATTGCGCCCTGGCTGGAGTGAACGAAGACGGGTAAGCTGAGAGCGTTTGGAGTCGTCCCAGGTTGCCGCTGGCATGCAATGGGACACCGCAACTGCCGAGAGGCCATACCTTTGTTACCCGTTTGCAGGCTTGCCATTCTGTTTATCCACCATGCTGTAGCTGTGCACCTTTGTGTCGGAAGGTGGTTGCCGGAGATCTTGCATGAGAGCAGCGTGCAGTGGTGTTCGCGTCCCAGGGCTGCAGGGCTGCGCTGCAGACTTCAATACCTTGTCGCACTGAAGGTATGGTCAGTATCGGCTTCATGATGAACTTCATCGCCGCATGTATGGTCTGTGCAGGCTTCTGTAAGCGAGCTGTAAGCTGGGATTCCTGTGATGCACGTTACTTGCTTTCTGCTTAGCACGCGCAACAAGCTCGAAATCATTTGGCCGTGGGTCAAAACCAATGCTACCATTTTAGACCCTATTTTAGTGGGGCTTGGGATTTTCACTGGGGGTACGGGATTTGACCCATGGCCATTTGGAGTTGCAAGAGATGATCACGAGCCTGGCCTTCTTTGAGCAGGGTCGCCACAACGGGTTCTGGGTGGAGGGATCGGCGGCACGTGTAACAAGCCTGGGGCGCTTGCAGGGGTGAAGAGCTCGGCCAGACTGGCTTCCACGGTCAGTGGCCCAGGTGCCGAGGCTGCGGGAGAAATGTAGCGACCCAGGAAAAGGCCGTAAAGCCCAAGAAGGAGGTTCAAATCAGGGAGAGAGCGGAAAGCACAGGCCGGGCTGATTTCCTTTCAGCTCATCCATGTCGCATTTTTGTGCTGTGATTCCGAGCTTTTTCGTGGCGCAAGCTGCGCCGCTTGCGCTTGCTTGCGCTTGCCGGTCGGGCGCACGGGTTAGGTGAAACTGGCCGCGAGGCACGGCGCTGGCAAGGCGAGGGTGCTGCGTAGTGCCGACGGAGCCCAGGAGTCCAGCTGGCTGGACCTCTGCTGTGCCAGGAGCCTTCCATTTATTTTTGTTTCGAGACACAGCGAGCTGACCTGTAAAACAGCAAAAACAAACTCGTGGATTCGAGGAGTCCAGGCGGCAGTTCGGCCGTGTCCAGGCAGAACTCGTATGCAGGCCGCGCTGAGTGCTGTGTGCTTTGCAGCAGAGCCCGAAAGAGTGCATGTTACATGTGCCGCAGTGAAGGTGGAGATGACGAGCCTGCGTGGGACCGGCGTGCATTCTCTTGGTCAGTGTGCACTGCCGTGAAATGGGCTGAGCGTGGGGGCACATCCCCGAGTCCGTTTGGTTTTGCAGATGCCGCGTCTGATTGATGTTCGTTGCAAACATGTATATTTAGCTGGCGGGAAATAAAATGGCATATAGATGGACTTTGACTGGTGAATTCGAATGCCATGTTTGCTGCAGCAATGCTGGACATACAAGAAAATTGTATACCCCTTGTCCCAACCGGTGACCAGTTGCACGGCCGGAGTCTGCCTCAAACATATAAGCGTGACACTACTGCAGATCAGGCCTCTTCATGGCTTTTGTTTGACTGATGGTCTTGAAATCGTATTGTCGAGGCCCGGGGAGTTCCGCTTTTAAGCTGTCATAGAGAGAGGGTGTTTGCCAGATGGCTACAAGATGATTCCGCACTGCATCCCAAATTCTGCGGCTATCGCCTCAAGGAGAGCACATTGCAACACTTGACGCCATGCAGAGTCCTTTTAAGATACAATCAAAACCCGAACAATTGGAGGGTAGTGCAGGGACAATCCCATAAATGACTTGGTGCGGATACCCGTGGTAATTCTTTACATGGTTCTGGTTGGATCGGCCATTTGAATACTGATTCGGTTTTGACTGTGACTCATTTTGAGATGCAGGAACCGGGAACAATGCCGAACTTGACCCGCTTCCCTGCGGAGCCGCATGACGCCTCAGCTTGCAGTGAATCTTTGCATGCCATCAAGTTCTTTTGCACGGAGGACAGGCATCTGTTTTGGGTAGAGTAGATGTCATGCTAGGCTGGGCAGCAATGTCCCTTCGCATTGGGAGTACTTGACTTAGATGCAGAGCGGAGCAGTTGCGCTTCGCAGTGTGAGCCGACCCAGGTTTATGCTTCCCAATTGCGGGGACAATGAGAGGAGCATTGCTCCCCTTGAACAAAGATACCTTGGTGGCTCCCAGCAATCCGGTTCCTTAGCTTTTTATCTTTTTAGTGGGGTTTTCCAATTTCGCCCACTAACAGTTATTCACTTTCAGCGGGGGATCTGAGGACAGCCTAGCTCGGAAAACGTCGTTGGGTTCTTGGCGCAGGATGAAGTGTCGGGAACTTCGAGAACGCGTGAAGAACGTCAGGGGGGCAAAGGCCATGTGAGGGGCGCTGTATTGTGACACTATGGAACTAAGTGAACCAGAAGGGTTTTGCAAGGAAAGCAGAAGGCCCCAAAAAGCACCGGGCCATTGAGAGCCCCAATGAAAACCCGGGTAAATGAAGGTTAGAAAGGAACAATCCCAGCCAGAATTCGGTGCGGCCACCTATTCAATTCTTGCTATGGTTCTGGGAAGACCATGTTAATAGCCGGGTTTTGGTTGTGACTCATGTCGGGGTTTTCCTCCGGAGGACCCCATCACGATGCTGCGCTTTCTGCGAGCCCGACAGGGGAGCGGCGACCTCGAGCCATGGTCTTCGCATGGGTCTGCTGACCTGCTTTCCGCCTGAAGAGAAAGAGTTTCAGGTGTCAGCTCTGCGGCCAAGATGTACCAGGACGCCATGAGGCTGCTCGTGCACCAAAGGGTCCCTGAGAACAAACAGAAAAACCTCGCCAAGTCGTCGCTTGAAGAGCGGAATCAGAGGTGGCGCGAGGGCACCGGCTACGAGCTGGGCTTTCGGCTGAACAACAAGGACGACTTGCCGGGGGCTTGCGAACGTTGCAAGCGACCAGGCGGTTCGGGGAGTGTGTTCAGGTTGCACCGCAAAGTGGACAGTTGCTGGCCTCCCACCGCAATTCTTGGCAAGGCCAGGCGTTTCTGGGATTCGAAAGAGGGGCAAGATGATGCCGCTGCAGGACTATGATGGTGACCCCGTGTACTGGAACAGGCGGGAACAGATTCCTGTTACGTCAATGCACGTTCAAGAAATATATCGGGGAATCTTCGGGGTGCAGGATGGGACTCGGCAACTTGGACTTTCTCGAAAAGGCAGAGTGACTGCTGACTGCTGCAGCTGTAGCAAAGCTGAATTCCTCTGCACAGCTTCGAAGCCGGCCTCAGCGATTTGCTTTGCCAGGCGCCGGCCGATTTCCTGATCCAGCATGAGGTCTACACCATCGCGCGCATCATGCAGGCGATTTTCAGAATGAGCAGCACATGCCTAGGCCACGCTCCACGCTTCGCTGTGCACTGTGAAGGCAATGGAAGAAGCATCGCGGATGAACAATCGGCCTGCCTGCAACCTACCACTTGTAACACGTGTGTGCTGCTTGGCACCTAATTTGCCTAGATCATGTACATGACGGTGGTGGCAGATTTAGGCGGGCTGGCAGCGCGGAACATGTCTGAAAAGCACGTTTTCCCAAGGTGAGATGAGTGCGCTGCTCAGTGGCGAACTGCTGAAACTTGTGGTGTTTTGTGGAAGGCTCAAGTTAAGATGGCCTCAGGTTGGCGCTCTTTCAACCTTAAGGGCATCATGAAGTGCACAAGTCTACCAAGCTCACCTTGCAAGGGATCGGATGTGCTGTACAGGTACAAGGTCTGTGTGAGAACGCTGGAAGACAACTTCCCAGAGCTCGTGAAGCGCATTGCTTGATCCTTGATGGGCAGTCAAATGGTTCAGATTCGATTCTCTCATTTTTTTTCTCAGATTGCCATTCGCGTGCCTCGACTGGCCTACACGCTGTGGAACATTGCCTCGCACTTTTTTGCACTGCTGGCCAGTTGTTTGGGATTTTGGGGGATGACATGCTGTCCAAAGGACACACACACACACACAATTACACTTGCATGAGACGACAACGTGCACAGACACCCACAGCCAAAGTAGGAAAAAACAAGGAAACAGGAGAGAAGATGTACGTGACAGGCTGCATTGAATGTGTCCAGGTGCATGCAAGAAAGGAGTTTCGGATCTCATGGGACCATCGTCAACGGGGTGGCCGACATCCCCTGAGCGGCCACCGACTTCCAGGGCACAGCTTCGAGCTACTGGACTTTGACGTGGAAGTCTCTGGGCTTGGCACGCGACCCAATATGACAAGCCGCCGACGCAACTGCTCTTCGGTTGCTTTCGTGGCTGATGAAAAAACAAAAAATCGCGAGCCAACGAAAACGATCCTCAGGAACGGGCAGCCCACACGCGCACATGGGTGGTGGCGCGTGCAGCTATGGGCTTTGCAAGCCCATGAGTCAAGGCGCCAGGCGTCCTACGCGGGGGCGACTCGCTTGGCGGGCGCCGAGGAGATTCTGAAGCGCTGCAACCGTCGCTGCAGTGGGCGGCCTCAAGCAGAAACAGAAAGACGAGTGGAGGAAGCTGTCAGACTTTGCTGTCAAAGAGCCGTAGCAAGGCCCGCTGCTTCTTGCTTCCTGAAGGCACGGTTTGTCTGGGCACCTGCGTGGCGTGTCTCGGACCAGCTGAAATGGGTAAGGTGGACAGTTCAGAAAGTCAGGTGTGCGTGCAAGTCAACGAAGCAAAACTCAGAAGCGCGACCTTCCAGCTGGTGCTTAAATTTAAGCTAGGCTCATCAACGGCCAGGGCGTACGGTGGTGCTTCAACGGCGGCCTGGTCCGTCAAGTAAGTGTCAGTGTGAGCGTAGTTACGGTAGGTGTCAGCCTTCCAGCATCCAACGCGCGCAGCGTTACATGCAAACGACTTTAGCATCTCATGGGGCCATCCTTGAAAAGGCGGCCGACATCCCACGAGTGGCCGCCAACCCACGCTTAGGGGCAGCACTCCCCGTGCCTACGCGCGCAGACAACGCGCAGGCACGCGCGCGCGCGCGCAGACACAGACGCAGACAGATGCAGATGCAGACAAAGAGACAGATGCAGAGGCGCGCTTGTGCGTGTGCGCACGTTGACACAAAGACGTGGACGTGCGCGCGCACGCTTGCTTACAGCTTGCTGACACATGCAGAGACACGCTGACAAGTGCAGAGACGCAGGCTGACCGACACATACACAAACACACAGACTTGCAGACACGCAGAGCTCTCAGACACACAGAGGCACAGACACAATTAACGCACGCACGCAGAGACCCACACAAAGACAGGCGCACGAAAGCAACACAAAGGAACGTCGCACATGCATACGTGGGGGCTACTCGGACCATGCCTTGTCTGCATCGTGTGCGTGTGTGGGCGCGTGTTTGTGTTTGCGCAGCCAGGACGAGGGGACCAGGGCGAAAATTCAGATAGCGGATGGCAACAACACAATGAAGGCGGTCTGGTTGTTTGCAGGTGTCATGCCGACAGTTTGAAAGCAGAGGCAACTGAGTAGCTTGCCATGATCAGGTTTTAAGTGAATTCATGGATCCGAAGTGGGTGCCAGAGGCGTGCCGGTCACATTGAATTGCTCATGTTGCACGAGTGCATGCTCGTTGTTTCTGTTTTGAAGGCATTGGGCGGCACCCACCGGATCAACAACAGCCTCGTCCTCATCTTGATGCGACTCACTCCTTGTTTATCCCGCTGACAGGTAGCTGGTGCAAGCCTTGCATACCCAGCCCAACAGGGCCTCCCTCACCTGCAAGGGCCCCAGATCTACTCGTTTTTTGGATTGGCAAACCCACGCCTTCCAAGGAGACGATGAGAAGCCTTGACTCAACCTTTGGAGACACCTGATTCTCGCATTGCGTATGGGCATGATTGCACAGGCAGCTGTCAAAGCCACCTGCCAAGCATGCAGAGGGCGCTGTTGCCGCGCATAATAGCCGCGCAGGGCATCGGTGCCTTCTAGTGTTGTAAAGGTTTTACCTTGCACTTGTGTGTGGCAACGGTAGGAGAAAATGGCAATTGCTGTGCTTGACTGGCACGGTACTGTACATTCTTTAACTGTGCTTGATGACCGACATGTCCCATGTACGCGATTCATTTTGAGATGGCAAGCACTCGAGTCTGTGTTGCCTGAACGAAGCAAGGCACCATTGACATATTTATGTTCTTCTAACTTTGCTGCGTTCCAATTACCAGCCTTACCTAACTTTGCTCGCTGCCGAATGTCGCTGACATGTTGATGTGATACCTGCAAGGGATTTGCGGGAAAGTCTTCGCCAGCTACACGAAATGCAACTCCCAAGCTTCAGGAAAGTGGGCAAAGCGAAACCCTGGCTTCAAGGGGTGGCAACAGCTTGGCCCAAGTATTGGCGGGCAATCAGAGTATTAGCTTGACTGTTTCTTTCTGCAGAAGATTTGAGAAAGCGTTGTGGGAGAGCTTTTCTACATCGTTTCCTGGGACGTGAGTCACGAGCGGCTGCATTGATTCGAGGGTTTGACATTGGACGAGTATTTCTACGTCAAGAGACGTGCAGGCAAGGGAATTCCTTTGCTCCAACGAGCAGAGCAACGAAGCCAGAAAGAGAACCAAAGGTTGCCGGCCGCGGACAATTTGGAAGGCAAGTGTGTAGTGTACGGAGTGTCAAGACCCGAAGTGTTGCTCTATTCCTCTGCCAAATTTTGGGGCTTAGGGCATCTTGGCAGCACATATTTGGCCAGAACGAAACAGCGCGTTCAAAGCGGATTGCGCAGCATGAACACTTCAGTCTCCTCCGACGAACAGTTCTCAGGCAAAAGCGTGGCATTCAAAAAGGCCGGTGGAGGCGAGTTGCAAGCTTGGTCGACACCTTAGCTGTAGTCCTTTCAGTGCCAAGATTGAAACTGTTTGGTGGACCTTTCAGCAAGATGTAGCCAAAATTCAAACTGTTTGCCTTTCAGCGCCAACCTAGAGGTCCCATGGGAAAAGCCTGGCAAGGCCAGCCGCTTGGCACATTCTTTGTACATGGCATCCTTGCATCGAAATCTCGATGGGGCAGCTCATAGGTTCTCAGCACATGCGCAGTCATCGATGAACACGTGGTAGAGGCCATGGTCAGATGGCGGAAAGCACTAGCATGTGTGTTTCTTTGCCACTCAACTTGCTGCTCCCAACCATGATTTTGGCGGACAGCGCTGTCCGTGCGCGTTGTCATGGCCGCGCTTGCGGTGCGGGCTGTTGCATCGCTGCTTTCAGCCGAAGACTTGCAGGACGTTTACGCAGATCGAGGGAATCAAGCCAAAATCAAAACGCGTTGTGTGTTCAATGTTTATTTGCTGGGATACCATGGTGTTCAACGGTGCTGGGTGTGACGTGTCTTCTTTTTTTCCAGTTTGACGCGCAGGACGTTGAAGACCTCCTCGCCTCCGGCGGCTCCCCGCTCCGGGTAGAGCCGCAGCTGGGCCGCCAGGCCGAGCTCCGTGCGCTGCGCGCGGCCGCGCGGCGCCAGGAGGCGGCCGTGGCGGCGGAGCGCGCGGAGAGCGACGCCGTCATCGAGGACCTCAGGGACCAGCTGCGCGAAGGGCGACGTGGGCATGAGGGGCCTGAAAAAAGCGAAGAGCACGCTGGGGCGCGGGAAAATGCGGAGCTGCAGGCTGCGGTGGCGGATTTGCGGGCTGAAGCAGCGATGCTGACGCAGCAGCTTGAGGAGATGAGGCATGTGGCTCCAGAAGTGCACTCTGACAGTCTGGTCGTTGCGATTCGAAGGGACCGGCGATGCAGTCTCCAACAGCTGCTGGACTTTCAAAAGCGCTTTGCGTCTAATTACGTGATTAGGCTAGCAATGTTGGCATGGCGGATTCGCACTGCAGCTCTTTCGGCAAAGATTTCCGAAAGAGCCAGGCTGCGATTGGAGTGTCGTGACAGAGTCGCAGGGCTGATTGAGGCCCAAAGCAATTTGCATCGGTGCTTCGATGCGTCAGATGCTTTCAGAGCGTGGGCACAAGCTGTCCTTCCATCTCCAAATTCCCGAAAGCAAACGCAGCACAAAGCGAATTCACGAATTCGCCTTCTCAGATGCTTGCAAGCATGGAGACGAATTGCTGCATTGTTGGGCTCCCTCCGAAATCTAACGTGGGTAGAGCCAGCAACTGTGTGCTCCCCTGAATTTGCGTCAGCCACTTTGCATGATGCACACCATCCCCGCGTTTATCGCGCTGTGTTGCTGCCAACCTTGGGCCGCAGTGCTAATGTCCCCTGCGAGAAAAAGGCTGAAACCCGGTCAGGCTTGATGTATTCAAAGTTCTGTCAGCAGGATACATGGAGCTTTGTGATCAAGCATCAGGAGGCGTTGGGTTTTGGGCACTCCAGCCGCGCAGCAGGTTCTCTCCAAACTGCCAGTCCAAGCTTAGCCTGGCAGCTCGCATTTTGGCTGCACATGGGCATGTTTCTATTTGGCCTGGTGAAAAAGGAATGCCAAAAGCACAGGTGCAGGGGTCAAGTGTGACCTGTGATGGTGCCGCTTTTTTCCCGGTAGCAAACTCTGGGCGCTGCATGGTGATCTGGACATTTGAAAAGACTGACCTGGCCAGTCGCTATGCTGCAATTGTTGCCTAGAAAACGGCAAAGTTCAAGAAGTTTGTGAGGGCTTGCGTTGAATCCGCTTGCATGAGTGATGAGTGGCATGAATCGCCTCGAACTCTGGATCATCAGCTTGTTTTTGTTGCCAGAGACAAGGGCGGATTTAGTCGATCACTTCAACATCTCGATTTGCGCCAGCAACACATCGCGCATCGCCGAGAGAAGTTTTACCTGAACTTCAGCACGCGAAGATTTTTACCTCCAGATGCTATGTCCCCCAACCCGGAGACCGCGTGGAAAGGGGTCCTTGCCTTGGACCAGGCCACACGGGACATGAAATGCGACGCGACCACGCGACCTGTGTGCTGCGCTGAGGTACCAGCGAGCACCACATGGAGCGCCATGGTCGCCAAGGAGGCAGGCGGTCGCCGTTTCGGGTGTCGCTTGAAGCACAAGTTGCGAGGAAGCCGAGTGGCCTCCAGAGCTACCTGAGGACGCGCTTGATTCGCAACAGGCTCTGGGGAAGCCGACAACCTAGTTCGCGGTTAGTGCCTTGAAACACTGCTTTTTACGAGGGCAGTCTCCTCGAACTTGAAAGTAGTGGGACAAACATTAGGTTTCTTTTCTACGTGGCTTGGTTTGGTTTGGCTTCCGACCCACCTACACGAGCTCCCTAACTTGCAAACGGTCTGACACTAGGTGCGTAGCTTCGGGTGACTCGAATGGCAAGGAGCCCATGCGGTGGAAGCTGCTGATTGTAGTCATTGACTGCAGCTACGGTCCTCGGCTACACAATCCTCCCAGGCGCCGCATGTTCGACTTAAGTGAAGCTTTCCGGGCTTTGCTGGCCGTTCTCATTGAGCTTTGACCTCGTGTTATTCAGGTCGCAGGGAGCATTGTTACATCGTTCCTGAAGGATCTTCCCTTCTAAGAAGCGCGGCTTTTTTCTGGGGTCAGGAATGAGATCACATACGACCTGGTGGTAGGTCCATCCGCGCTTTGAAAGCCAAGCTGGCGGCGGCCTTGGGCATCGAGGTGGGCGCTGATGCTTCAAACAACAGATGGCTGTGGGTCAAACGTAGGTACCCCAAAATGGCTTGCCCTGTTAAATGGAAAGAAGGACCAAAACCTGCGGTCCATATCCTGGTGGTTCAATTTTGACGTCACATCCAGATCTGCTGTGGTTTTAATTTTGGTGAATCCACCTACCAGAACGGTTGGGCGCCATCCCCGACGTAACTTGACGTCGCCACCACCGGGTTTTTCGAAACAAAAAGCACCAAGCGCAGCGCGAGAGCAGCTTCGCGTGGAGGCTCTCTCAAAGCAGTCGGGGACTGGCGGTGCGGAGGCGCTGGCAATGGGCATGGGGCAACATCCAAATCGGTTAGCCCCCGGTTTTCACATCCACCAATTGAACCACAAAAATAGGAAGCCTAAAATGGGTGGTGCACATGTGGGCATGGGTCAAATAGATGAAAATGGGTGGTGAATGCACCGAAAACCCCAAAATGGGATGTGGACCGCTGGTTTGGTCCGTATTTCCATATACCGGGGTTCCATTTTGGGCACGCATTTTTGACCCACAGCCATGTGCCTTTCAAGGCAGCCTCCGCTCAAGCCATCGTGACCGGCATAGAGGGCCCGCAGCGACATCTCATTGAGCAGGCGCGCATAGCTTTAGGCGTACAACTACGTTGGAAGAAAGTCCCATACCCGCACGCTCAGACGAGCTGAAAGCTTATTTTCCAGAACCAATCAGGGATCGCGGCATCATGGCAACTTGCGGCCCAACTGCCGGCAGTTGCCCTCGTGAGAGCCCATGTCATGCTCCAGGATGATGACCTTTGCGGATTTTGGGATAGAGCGTGGAGCTCAGACTGAGTCTTTCAGGAAGCAGGGTTGTCATTTCTTCTCAGACCGGAAGTGCTTTTTGTCTCCAACCCACTTGTTTGTTCTTTTCTTTTTTCGGACAACTTTTTGCTACCCATTGTGATGCGCACAAGTTTAACCCTCCCACCTCCTTTGACCTCTTTACCTCTTGAACCACCCGTTGTTTTCCACCTTGCCACCTTTTTGAAGCCCCAGGTCATGATTGCCTTTACCCCTTTCTCACTTGTTTTGATCCGGCTTGGAGTTGTGCAACCAATCCAAACTTTCAACCCGTCCACCACAGTGAATATGGCTAAACCTTCTGGTAGCCAAGCCTTGACCGCCACCTAACCCGCCCTAAATCAACTGTAAACCTGCCTAGGGCAACCCCTTAGCTCATCTAAGCCAGCCCAAACTCCCTGAGTCTTGCAATCCCAGCCTAAATCAAGCATGAAATACCTGCATCACCACCTCGATTGCCCTCTCCACACACGTTACCCCATGTCCCGTGGCAGCAGCAAAGAGATGCATTGAGCCAGAGGGTCCAGAGAAGGAGACATTTGTTGTGGGCTTTTGCTGGCGCAGGTGCTTGCCACTCACTTTTGGTGCTGGTTTGGGGTTAAGCAGCAAGCGGTAGCATACCCGCAAGCAACATACCCACTTTTCCAAATCCCGCCCAACATAATAATTTATCAATCCACTCACCAAAACACATATAATAATTAATAAAATGTTTCAAGTTATTCATTTTTCAAGAATAACTTATCTTCAACCTCATCTTTTTTTAAATTATCAATGTGCTTCTTTGTTTTTTCATGCCTCGCCTTATGTTTCAATCTACCCTCACAATCACAAACAGAGCACACAAATATGTTCATGCCATAGTCTTTATTTATTTCACTTATCTCCTCTTTATGATTATCTCTCCATGTCTGCGAGTAGATTTTCATTTTTTCTCTACACAAATCACAAGTTTTATGATTTTCCGAAAATAACACAATCTTTCTATTCATTTTACAATGTGTGCAGTATTGTTTTTCTCCTTCTTCTATTTCTTTTTGTTGCTTATCCATCGCTTTTATCAGTCTCTTTCTTTGGTCTTTCTTTTTCTGCCTTTCACGGCATCTATCACAAGTTTTACAACTATCGGTAAATACATTTCCATCCTTATGACATCCACAACACGCGCAATATTTCCTTTCCATAATCTTCTACAATAATATGCAATCTACCCTTTAAATAGTTTTAGACACAAATAATATTTTTGCTCTGGGGTAAGACCCTCATAGAAAAAAACCACCAAACAACAGACCATACAATTAAAGGACCGGATAACCCCACATGCTATGTTTTTCCCAAGGATGTGAGTTCAAATGTCTGGACACAAAGCTTCTGCGAGCCCAATCTCAACATCCAACAGCTTGCCTCACAATGCACCCTGCCTCATGTACTCACAGCTCTGCACTTACACAAGCCTTGTAGACGACCCTTTAGACATCCGAGAAGTGTGAGTGAGTGTGAGTATGAATGCGAGCGAATGAGTGACAAAATGCTGCCCCTGCCACACAAACACACACCCAGACGCACAGAATGCTGCGCCTGCCACGACTTCGGCAATGGCATCTCCAAAGTGCCGCGCCTGCCACGATTTCGCACGCCCCCCGCCGAGCGCGCAACGCCATCCTGTCCTTTTAGACAGCTGCCAAATGCTGCCCCTGCCACACAAACGCACACCCAGATGCACAGAATGCTGCGCCTGCCCTGCCACACAAACACACACCCAGATGCACAGAATGCTGCGCCTGCCACGACTTCGGCAATGGCATCTCCACACCCAGATGCACAGAATGCAGCGCCTGCCACGACAGAGGCAACGGCATCGCCAAAGTGCTGCGCCTGCCACGATTTCGCACGCCCCCCGCCGCGCGCGCGACAACATCCTGTCCCTCTAGACAGCTGCCGAATGCGACCCCTGCCACACAAACACACACCCAGATGCACAGAATGCTGCGCCTGCCACGACTTCGGCAACGGCATCGCCAAAGTGCTGCGCCTGCCACGATTTCGCACACCCCCCGCCGCGCGCGCGCCAACATCCTGTCCCTCTAGACAGCTGCCGAATGCTACCCCTGCCACACAAACACACACCCAGATGCACAGAATGCTGCGCCTGCCACGACTTCGGCAACGGCATCGCCAAAGTGCTGCGCCTGCCACGATTTCGCACACCCCCCGATGTCAGACAGCTGCCGAATGCGACCCCTGCCACACAAACACACACCCAGATGCACAGAATGCTGCGCCTGCCACGACTTCGGCAACGGCATCGCCAAAGTGCTGCGCCTGCCACGATTTCGCACACCCCCCGCCGCGCGCGCGCCAACATCCTGTCCCTCTAGACAGCTGCCGAATGCTACCCCTGCCACACAAACACACACCCAGATGCACAGAATGCTGCGCCTGCCACGACTTCGGCAACGGCATCGCCAAAGTGCTGCGCCTGCCACGATTTCGCACACCCCCCGCCGCGCGCGCGCCAACATCCTGTCCCTCTAGACAGCTGCCGAATGCTACCCCTGCCACACAAACACACACCCAGATGCACAGAATGCTGCGCCTGCCACGACTTCGGCAACGGCGTCGCCAAAGTGCTGCGCCTGCCACGATTTCGCAACGTCGCTGCGCCTGCCACGATTTCGCACGCCCCCCGCCGCGCGCGCGACAACATCCTGTCCCTCTAGACAGCTGCCGAATGCGACCCCTGCCACACAAACACACACCCAGATGCACAGAATGCTGCGCCTGCCACGACTTCGGCAACGGCATCGCCAAAGTGCTGCGCCTGCCACGATTTCGCACACCCCCCGCCGCGCGCGCGACAACATCCTGTCCCTCTAGACAGCTGCCGTGAGTCAGTGAGTGAGTGAGTGAGTGAGTGAGTGAGTGAGTGAGTGAGTGAGTGAGTGAGTGAGTGAGTGAGTGAGTGAGTGAGTGAGTGAGAGTGAGTGAGTGAGTGAGTGAGTGAGTGAGTGAGTGAGTGAGTGAGTGAGTGAGTGAGTGAGTGAGTGAGTGAGTGAGTGAGTGAGTGAGTGAGTGAGTGAGTGAGTGAGTGAGTGAGTGAGACAGTGATGAGGAGGGAGGGCGGGAGGAGGAGGAGAAGGAGACGCGGCGCGCGGACGACGAGCGGTAAAAGTAAGAACCCCACACAAAGATGTGGGGAAAAAACCAAACAACCGACCATACAAAGAACAATTACAAACATATTGAATACATCTAATATTTTATCTTATTAGAACTATTCATGATGATGTAAAGCATTTTACAGCAAATCACTTAGCTTATATCCAATAAATAATATCTATCAAGTTCATGCTCGTAACATAATTGCACAGCATTAATATCTATGTAATATCTATTCTTGATTTTTTGGTATTTAAACATATCATACAAGAGGCGATTGTTTAATACTGAACTTGAACCCCTAAAACGAAAACGATGGGCAAATATAACTTGATACACATTTTTTGTGGAACTAATTTAGTTTCTGTATTCTTTAACGCTTGAATAAATTTATTATATAATTCAGTTTTTTCTTCTTCTCTTCTCTTCTTCTTTTCTACTTGTTTAGTTTCACATTCTTTGCATAATGTTATAGTTGTATCACTCGTAGGGAAATCATCATGAACTCGTGTTTCTTCTACACATCCACAATCTTTAGTATCTCTTGATTGTAAAGTCCATCCCATATTTATCACTAATATATATATAGGTATTATTTCTTTAAACCCTTTTAGTCTAAAACTATAATTTCAACATTTCATGTCGCAATAGAGGTTTGGGAAAATCACTAACATGATAATACTTCTGACCCAATTTAGTTTCTATTTTGGTTATTGTATGGACTGTCCTTAACCAATGACTGGTTCTCTCTTTCTCGCTAATCGCTTTCTTTCTCATTATCTTGACTTTGTCCCCCTACATCTAATCAGGATACACACGGGTTTTTCTGGCATTCATTGATATATTCAGTTTCACCTCAAACTCATTTTTCTTTTTCCTTGCTTCTAATGGTGTCATTTTCGTAACGGAACTTACTAATTTATTATTATATGTCAATAATATTTCTAAATTGTAATCTATCCATTGTATATTGTTTTTACCTTTCTTTTCATCAGCATCAACTCTTTTAAAAAGCATATCCTTAAAGGTTCTAATAAATCTTTCTCCAAAAGCAGGGTGGCCTCTCGTGGTGTGTAATTCAATTTTTTCCTCATCAAGATAATCTGCAATGGTAGAACTAAACAAACTGCCTTCTTCGTCCCTGTATATCATTTTGGGTTTTCCACCCATTTTCTTAATACCCTCCATTATTCCTGCTAATACGTCTGGCGGTTGCTTACTTGCAATAGGTATTACAGTAGCATATTTACTAAATATATCAACCAATATTAATCCAATTCTAAACTTCTGATTTTCCAAATCATTTTTAGAAATAAAAAACAAATCCAGTTGAAATTCCCAGAATGAGTGTGGCGCAACAAAACTATTTTGCCCTCTTGGTTTTCTTTTCTCTTCAATATTATTTTTAAAGAATTCATTTACATCACTCATAGTAATAGTTTTATCTTTCTGTCTGGCATCTTTCAACGTTATTGCTTTACTTCCGTATCCGCTTTTATCATAATCAATATCACTAATTATTTTTTGTTTATCCATGTAATAAATTAAGATTTATTATATTGATAATATTATTTATAATTTAAATTCAGGATAATAAGTTAATTGATGATTATTAAATTGTGTATATATCTCACGTCTTTCATACATCATTTTAATAATAATATTGATATCTTTCACGGTATTTTTCACATTAAACTTTTTGCTTTCAATATATGATTTAATGTCTTCTTTTAAATCACACCCTTCTCTTCTACGATGTAACACTATCCATAATATGTGGTTAATCATTTCATACTTTTTCTTACCAATTTTGA